CGGGGGGAGGAGTGGAGGGACTTTAAAAACCTTTGTTTTTTTTTTTTTTTTTTACAAAGAATTGATACGGTAAAGGTTTCCCCTCTCTCTTGTCTTGGTATAGACAGGCAAACATGTTGACATTAGATAAAGCGTCCTGCAACTATATTGACCAGGCCACTTTGTCCCCTGTGTGGGCTAGTTAGCCTAGATCTAGTGATGTCATGGAGGCCCATGTCCCACCCCTGTCACCCACACCCCAATGTGATAGGAATTGATTTTCTGTTTAAAGATTTCCAGAGAAAACTTGTGTAACTCCTGCAGCTTCTGCTCCTGTTTTAAAGTCATTTCTATTAGGAAATTCCTGCTTGAGTTTCAGCTAAATGCCTGTCACTCGGAAAGTTTTTGATTCCTGATGAAGATATGAAAATAAATCACTGGGCCGCCAAATAGGAATGATGTCATAATGACAGAAATGAATTGTGTCTGTCTCAAAGCCAGAGTGACTTATTTGTTAGCAACAAAGAACAGTTGGCTGAATAGCCCCAGAAGAATCCAATTAGATGTGCGAGGCTGGTGAGCTCACTGCTAGGTTCCTTGCCCTTGCTGCTCAGAGCCTGGACCCAACATCAGCACCTGGGCACTTGTTAGAGATTTAAGACTGACTTGGAGGCTGCAATTTAACACAGTCCCCAGACAACTCTCAGGCATTTGTAATTTTGTAAAGCAGTTCTATAGATCACCCTGAGGCCATCTAAAGGTGAGTGGACCATGGCAGGTGCCAGATATTTGAAATGCAGTGAGTCCAGCAAGTGGCGAGTGAGGGAAACCCAACTGGTCCAGCAGGAACTGGCTTTTCTCTGGAAGTCCCCTACTCAGAAATCACCCAGGGTGTGGCAGACAAAATCAGAGACAGTGTCCTGGCTGTTGGTTGTGCGGCTGGTGAGAGGCACTGGGTGGACACACTCTCCTGGTACTGAGAGGCTGGCAGGTAGACAGTAGATAGGAATGGATGGGGGCCGGGGGAGGAACTCCTAATGGGCCTCTACCTCCCAGGAAGTAGTACCAGAAGCCAAGGAGAGTTGAGTCCCCAGCTTTGTCCCACCCAGGTTAGAATACTCCCTTAGTGGTTTGGGTGACCCTCCTGTTCCCTTATGGATTGAGCTGATGAACACAGCAACGCTTCTCAATAAAAACTGCCCCCATGCACTTCCATGATAGGCCTTGCTAGAACAAGATGTCCCAAATACCCAGGGATTTGGAAGCTTGGCTCACATGGCCCACTTGTGTGGTCAACCTCTCCAGGTCTAGCACCCCTATTATCCCTGGGTGCCTCCCAACCCTGTCTTCCCAAGGCTATGCCACACTGGCCAGATGGGGACATTTGCCTTATTACTGTCTCCTTGCAAAGTGCTTCAAGGCATAATATCTAGACCAGAACCAAGTTAGTTGTATCTGCCTTAGCCAGGGCTGCTCCTCCCACGGAATCAGCCAAATGGATGAAGTTTGTGGGCTGTTTAAAGCATATGGTTTGCAAATACTGTAAAATCAAACATCACTTTTGGCTTTTATTTACTGTAATGTTTCACATCACCTAGCACCAAGCTCACTGATGAGGCCTGCTTTGCCTTGGCCCCCTTTTTCTTCTTTTTTTTTTCTCTCCTTGGGATTTCCCTGCTCTTTACCTCTTTCTGAAAGAGACTCCCTCTCCTCACCTGGCTCTGCGCCTTGCCTCTGCACTGGCCGCCCGCACCTCTTTCTGCTCATCCTCCAGTCACTTGACCTCCTTTTCCCCCTTCCCTCTGCAGCGCATGTGATCTCTGTTTCCTTCATCCACACCACCTTTCCTCTGCTTTTGCTTCCAAGGCTGCTCCTCACTCACCCTCTGCTTCCCCTGCTGCTTACAGATTATTTTCTTTTTCCTCCCAGGCCCCACCACAGAGTTCCTTTCTTCCCCTCTTTCTCTAAAGGGACCTTGGGGATCCGAGAACTGTTGAATCAGAGTCACAAGGGACAGAGTGTATATAACACTGCAGTCACTTGTGAGTCAGAAACTTCTTTTATCGTCTTCTGTAATGGCTGCTCTCCTGTCCCTCCCTGAAGCAGGAGGGGCTGGGGAGAGGGGACACCCAGGAACAGGGCCCCTCACCACATACCCTCACCATTGCTTTCACCCCAGTACTTCCTTTCCTATCTCAGCACACACACATGCATGTGCACACACATCCACACATCCACACATTTGCAGGCATGCACATATGTACCCATAAACCTCATGTGTGCCTTCTGCCTTGACATGTTTGCTCCCAGTCTCCACAAAGGCACTGAGTTTCCTCTCCAGTGTCCCTTCCCACCAGCCATGCTCATCTGTGCTTTATTCCCACAGAGTATGGCACCAGGACACACACAATTCTGAGGTGCGCTAGAGGGACAGTGGCAGTGGGGTTCTTCTTCCGAGGTATAACTCTTGAGGGAGCCAGCAGTCAGATGGAACAGGAAGCTCATTTTTAAAACCAGTCCTTGCCTAGGGTCAGAGTCAGTATGCCAATCTATTGATCCACAGCCAATGCTTCTGCCTTCTCTCTGGGATACTGGGAAATACATCTTCAACCACAGAAGATCAGGAGTGAAAACCAACAGAGCCCCACAGATACGCCCTCATAACCACAAAACAAGGATGCTGACATCCCACTTTCTCAGCCAGGGCTTCTTCAAGCACTTTGCAGAATCTAGGCTACTGCTTTCTTGGCAGCTGGGGAAACAGAAGTCGCATCCAAGTAAGCCATAGAGGCCTGTGGAGAATCCCTGCAGTCTCCGGCACTTGGCTCTGCGGCATCTCCATGTTGGAGGCTCTCTTGTCAGCCTTAGTGGAAGAGGATTACCCAAGGGATGGTCACTGGAGGAAGGTAAAAGCCCTAGCCAGGTGCTTGCTGGGCCTCAAGGCAGGCAGGGCTCTCCCACGCAATGCCAAGCCATAACTCCTGACCACACCTCTGCCAACTCCCTGCCCAGACTTGCTTGGGGCCTGTGGCCCTGCATCTGCTGCACCTTAATTCTCAGGGCACTGTGCCCACCCTGAGGAGAATGGGAGGGAAGCTACCCTGCAAGTCCTCCAGGTGAATGGGGCTGGGCAAGCTGTTCAGCACACCTCACTAAGTCTAGCCCTATCCTGTGCTTCGTGCCCAACGCTGGGGTGTGGTCTCTGCTTAGCTGCTCTCTGGGAAAATTCTCAAGCCAGGAAAGAAGCCATGAGAGTTCAATAACTGGGAGAAGACTTTCATTTCTTTGCCCAGCTCTGAGCTCCCCCGCTGCTTCCTCACACAGGGAAGAGCAGAAAAAATACCTGATTCTTTACTTAAGTTCTTTCTCATACCAACCAATGAACCAACCCACCTGCCAATAAATTACTACTGTAACATGGTATGTGTAGATATAGGCATACATACACAGGTTTTGTGACCACAAGGGGGCACACACACACACACACACACACATGCATGTATATGTAGTTATTAAGTCCAGTTTTTTCTCTTGCACCCTGTCTTTCAGACCACTTCAGACAAAAAGTCCCTAGGCCACCAAAAGTACTCATCTTGTCATGGGGGCCACATAGTTGGCAGGGAAGAGGCCCAGTTTGTTGTGCAGACGGCCGGTCCACCAGGATGGATTGGAGCTGTCCAGGACCTCGACTACCTCTCCACTGTGGAATCCCAGCTCGTCCTCCTCCAGAGCCTCAAAGTCATATAGTGCCCGGGCCCAGCGGACACGCTGTGGGGGAAGCAAGAGATGCTCTGATGATCACCAGCTGGCAAGCTGGTCATTGGAGCCACTGTCATACAGAGGAGCCGCAAGCTCTTGGAGTGATCCTGAGTCCCCTGAGCACAGCTCTCCAGAAAGGCTGACTTTGCAACAGTTTAAAGCAGACCTGGCAGGGCTGGAGAGATGGCCCAGCACCCACATTGTAGCTAACAACCCTCTGTAACTCCAGTTCCAGGGGATCTGATGCCCTCTTCTGACCTCTGTGGGCATTGCATGACATGGATGCACTTACATTCATGCAGGCTATATACTCATACACATAAATAATAAATAAAATGTTTTAAAGCAGACCTGGCACACACAGCCCTGTGCACAAAATTACTGGAGCACACCAGCTTTGTTCTTGAAATGGTTTTGTTTTTACAGTGCATGGGATGAAACCCAGTCACATAGACTAGGTAAGTGCTATACCACTGAGCTGTACCTGAGAAACCAAGTGTCATGCAGTCCGAATAAGATGGATCCCAAGGATAAAGCTTACTCATCTTCAACTGCCAGAAGTGTGAGAAGACAGTCCAGTCAGACTGAGAAGAGCAGCCCAAAAGACCCGGGCTGGACCCACTCCCTCAGCCGCCTCCACATGCCCAACTCACTCACCCCTGCCACCTGGAGTTGCACAGGGTCTGTGTGTCTCCGGTGCATCAGGGCAGTGTTCATCTCGCTGCCTGTGCCACAATGCCCATCATTTATGTCCAGGCTGCTTCCTCGGCGGTCCTATAGACAGGTTCAAGAGGGAACTGTTTCATTATCACTGGAGGCATCCTTCACAGTCCACCCCAACCCTGTGCCATGTTGGGGTGCTGCCTATAGAACCAACATCTAAGAATACTTACCATGGTCCTATACCTTAGAGGATGGAGAGGAGAGAAAAGAATCTAGAGGGACCTTAGATTCTGAAGGCAAAGATGATGAATTTCATTTATTCAATAAAATAGCACTAGAGGAGTCTCATGTGCCCATGCCTCAGGATGTAATTAGTCTCTATTATTAATTATTATTATTTTGTGTGTATGTGAGCATGTGTGTGAGCATATATGTGGAAACCAGAGGTTGATGTTAGGTGTCTTCCTGTCATTCTCCACCTTAATTTTGGAGTCAGGGTCTCTCACTAAACCTGGAGCTCACTAATTCAGCTAGATTGGCTGGTCAGCAAGTTCCTGGGATCTGCCTGCTTCTGTTCACCCCCACCCCTCTCAGCAGTGGGGTTAAAAATGTGCTTTTCTTGTGTCTGTCCAGTTTTTATGTGGGTGTTGGAGATCTGAATTCAGGTAACCTACTAAACCATCTCTCCAGCCCCTATTTTATTATTTTAAGACAGAGTCTTGCTTTGTAGCTTACATTGGCATTGAACTCTATGCAGCCCCAGGCTAGTGCTGAGTTAAATATTTACTAGTTTAGAGGGAAAACCATATACATTAACATGTTAAATGAACAGGTAGAAAACTTTCTAAATCTGCCTCACGTCAGGGGAACACCTAGGTGGAAGATGTGATGCTTGAGCTCAACTTGAAAGGGGAGTAGGACCGATCAGGAGGGACCATTCTGGCAGACCAAACAGCTTATCAAAAGCCAAGAAGAGAGAAAATAAAGTGGGCCATTCTGATAACAAAAGGTGGTGCAGACTGCTGGAATTTGTGTTTGCATGGCATTCGGGGGTTGACGGCATGAGGTGAGGCTGGGGAAGTAGATACAGGCAGCTCACAGAGGACTCTGTGCCCTGCTAAGGAATGTAGGACCGGTGTTTTCTGGTTGTATTGTCCATCTCCATAAGCTACCTGAAATCCCATCTGGCACAAGCAAGGCATAAATAAATAAATAAATAAATAAATAAATAAATAAATAAATAAAGCTCCATTGCAGGTGTTAATCCATTTTTCTTATTGTGGCTCTCCCTAGCCAGATGGATTAAGGGGCACAAGTAGATTTGGAATTTTGCTGACAGGAGACTAAAGTGATTATTCAGAGTGTGGTGTGTGTGTGTGTGTGTGTGTGTGTGTGTGTGCGCATGCACATTCGGGCAGGGAGCTATAGAGTGCACTGGGATTTCTTTGTCAAGAGCAATTGCCATGTTAGGGTCCAGGCTCTTTCATGAGGCTGATCCAGGCCTGGACTATTGGGAGGGCAGGTTCTCCTTTCCCACTTGTTGCATATTTCCTCATTCTCTGGATACCTGGTGAAAATGGGGGTGCTGCAGATACCGCTGCTGTGGAGGGGGCTGTGGCCCCGGAGGGAACTGGGAGGGTGGCTGCTGGTGCTGGTGGTACTGTTGGGTACGGGGAGGAGGGTGATCAGACAGCTTCCGGTTCATAGAAGGCCGGCTTTCTTCTGCACTCCCACTTTGGTGAGGGCCTCCCTGGGACCTTCGGTCCAGGCTGTTGCCCCGGTGACCCTGAGAGAGAAAAACAGAGGGGATGCTGATCCATCAGCTCCATAGATCTCCTGGCCCTGCTCCCTCTTCTGGCAAAGGCTAGACTTTGCTCAATACAGCTCCAGAAAATAGCTGGGGGCTGGGTGGGGGTGTGAGGTGGGAGTATAGAGGAAAGGGAAGCTTAAAGAGAATCACAGGTTTGGACCTCCACATTATCAAAAGTGGCCTCTGAGTTCTCAAATCTTCCCTGGTTTGAGTTAAAATCTTTGGTTGACAGACCTTTGGTTGGTCCACGTGGTCTCCACTCAATCCATTCCTAGTGGGTTTGTTTTTCTCTGTGTAATCAAGCTTAAATATTGCATTTTACAGAAACAATGCTGCCCCTCCTTATCAACGTGTTCCACACAGCTAGACATCCTTCCCTCCAGATAAGCTCTGCTGTTGACTCTGTGTCATTGACTCTGTGCCATTTACAGCCTGGTGACAAGAACCTAAGACAGCAACATCCTGATAGCACCATAGAGACCAGGCCTGGTGCTGAGCATGCTGAAAAAGAAAAGGTCTCTCTACTTCTTGCTGTAACAACTCATCAATCAGAAATACCTTATTATTATTATTATTATTATTATTATTATTATTTAATAAACAATTACATAGAGTCATGGGCTAAGTATATGGCCACAGTGTACAAATATTAACTGATTTAATCCAGTTTAATGCAAACTTTACATTGTCTCTCTTATCTCTGAGCCCACATCCTAGTGAGTTAATGCTTCTGTCCGTTTCCTGATTAAAATAATCTTCAAGGTCTTGGTTAACCTTTGTTTTCCTTTCTGAATTGGACACACTTTGTCTTCATGAGTGTAACTTCTCAGTGTTCAAAACAGCCGGTGGTTTGGAAGGTTTTCTTTACTTCCTTCAAGCACTCCTGTCTTAGCTGGGCGTGGTGGCACACACCTTTCATTCCAGCACTCGAGAAGCAGAGGCCCGTGGATCTCTCAAAGATGAGGCCAGATTGGCCTCTTCCAGCCACCCCACTCAGTGCTTCTTTCTACTGTAACATTCATCTCTTAACAATTGTTCTTTTAAAAAAATTTAAAAGATTTATTTATTTTTATTTTATGTATATAAATGTTTTGCCTATGTGTATGTATGTGTACCACAAGCATTCATGCAGTGCCCACAGAGGCCAGAAGGGGGTGTTGGAACCTCTGGAACTGGAGTTAAAGAAGTTATGAGCTGCCCTTTGAGTGCTGAAAACCAAAGTCAGGTCCTTTGCAAGAGCAGCAAGTGTTCTTAACTGCCGAGCCATCTCTCTGGCCCCCACAACCGTATTTTTTTTCTTTGAAAAATAATTTGTACATTGTATATGTGCACATATGCACATGTGTGTGGATTCACTTGTGGAAAGCTGATTACCACTTTCTTAATTCCTGCCTACTATGGACCAGATCCTGTGGCAGGGCTGTGACTATGTTATGTATATTTAATCCTCACAAAAATCCAGTGAGTGAGGCACTATTGAGTTCTCTATTTTAAGATAAGAAAACAGAAGCATCCTTTTTTTGTTTGTTTGATTGATTCTGTTTTCTTTGTTGGATTTTTTTTTCTCTTTTTGGACAGCGTCTTGCTTGCCCTGGCTGGTCCGATACTTGCTATGTAGCCCAAGCTGGCCTTGAACTTGCAGTCTTCCTGTTTCTACCTAAGTGCTGGGATTGCAGTCATGTGCTACCACCCCTATCTTCAAAAGTGTTGTTTTTTTTTTCTAAATTTTATTTATTTTTATACGTATGAGTGTTTTGCTTACATGTTTGTAGGTGTAACGTGTGCATGCAATGCCCACAGAGGCCAGAAGAAGGCATTGGAGCCCCTAGAACTGGAGTTACAGATGGTTGTTAGCCATCATGTGGGTGCTGGGAACTGAACCCAGGTCCTTTGCAAGAGTAGCCAGTGTTCTCAATTGCTGAGCCATTTCTCCAGTCAAAGAAAGTTTTCTTAAAAAGAAAGAAAGATTTATTTTTTTATTTATGTGTATATGTCTGTGTGTGTATATGCCACATGTTTTCAGGTATCCTTGGAAGTCAGAAGAGAGTATCGGATCCCTTCAAGTTGGAATTACAGGTGACTGTGAGCTGCCCAAAATGGGTGCTGGGAACTAAACTCAGGTCCTCTGGAAGAGCCAGTGCTTGTAAGTGCTGAGCCACCTCTCCAGTCCCAGACAGTGTTCTTAACTTGACTAGGTAATATAGTTGGTGTGCTGGTTTTTGTCAAGTTAACACAAACCTAGACATACTTGGGAAGAGAGAGAATCTCAGTTGAGGAAATTCCTTCATCAGACTGGCCTATGGGTATGTCTGTGAGGCATTTTCTTGATTGCTAATTGCCCAGCCCACAGTGGGCAGTGTCATCCCTGGGCAGATGGGTCTGGGCTGTATAAGAAAAGCAGCTGAGCAAGCCAGGGGGAGCAAGCCAGTAAGCAGCATCCCTCCTCACGGTCTCTGTTTTCAGGTTCCTGCCTTGGCTTTCTTTGACGATGGACTATGAGTTGTAAGGCAAAGAAACCCTTTCCTCCCCAGTTTGTTTTTAACCAGAGTCTTTTATCACAGCAGCAGAAACAAAACCAGAACAGGTGGTTAGGAATCAATTTAGGATCGAATCTGATGTATTTCTGTGCAATCACCTTGATTCCAAACATTTGTCTAAGATTTTTCTTCTGCAGTGCCCTCCCCTGTCCACCCAAGGCCATCACAAAGCTCTGCCTGGTGACTTATACTTGGGCCCTAGACTGCTCTCTAGTATTACTGTCTGTTGCCCCTGACCCTTGGGCAGCTCCTGAGCTGAACTGAAAATTATGATGTAATATCCACAAATAACTAAGTAATAGCACCCCCAGGGTGAGCTAATATTCATGGTGTATTTACAGTGTGATTAGCAATGATGGAAGAGTGGTTTGTTGGTCTAGGAGTTTGATTCCCACAACCTTCACAACCTCCTGTAAGGTGGGTAATTACTCTCATGCTACCTTAATGGATGAAGAAACTGGATCAGAGCTAGCAAGTGTGTTCAGCTTGGACTGAAGCTGAAATCTGACTGCAGATTGACCCAGCAAATCCATTAGGAGCACAGGCTACCTAAAATCCCTAGCTTGGAGTTGATTGGAACTTGAGGGATACCTGATCTTCTCGGGTTCCATCCCGAAGAAAGATCTGCTTCTGTTTGGAGATAGAAGTCGTCCTGTAGTAATCCACCAGTTTATTCAGGGATGGAAACTTCTCAGTCCACAGGAAGTAACTGCCTTTGTTATCTCGCATGACTTTGAAGTGTTGAACATCATCCTCGTGTCTGGAGATCAAGGCAAACACAAGTTGTATGTTACATAGTGACCGTGTCCCTCCTGCTGGACTCTTTGTACCCAGGGATGGTGGAGTTCTGTTTGTGGAGACGAGCAAATGTCTATTCAATCCAGACAGGGCATCAACGGCACACAAGAGTAAAGATTCCACTCAAGTCAAGGTTGTTGAACCAGCGAGTTCAATTAGGGTTACTTACAGGACTACAGGCAACTTACAGGTGATTATAGCACTGAAGAAAATGTCTCTTTCCCCCAGCAACCATTAACTGCCTATATATCCTCAGGGATCCCTTCTCCCACCCATGATGGATCATTAATAGACCCGATCTCGTACAGGTCTCCTGTGGGTAATCACAGCTGCTTAAAGTTCAAGAGGGCCATAGCCAAGTCATAGCCACAGAATATCGTTCTACAGAGGTAAGTGATGAAGATACAAACAACTTGCCCATCAGCAGGGACCAGCTAGTCCAGCCAAGCTCTAGTAGTTAGGTTTGGGGAAAGGACCACCAACAGCAGGTGATCAGATTGGCTGGAATCTGTCTTAGACACTGGACCAACATTTAAAAGGCAAAAATGAGACAGATGGGGCTGGAGAGATGGCTCAGCTGTTAAGAGCACTGGTTACTCTTGTAGAAGACCTGGGTTTGGTTTCCAGCACCCACATGGCAGCTAACAACTGTCTGTAACTCTAGTTCTAGGGGATCCTCCTCTGGCCTCCACAGGCATTGCATGCATGGGTGTACTTACATACATGCAGGCAAAACACATACATTTTAAAAATTAATTTTTTTTAAAAAGGAAAAAATGTTCTAAGCATCTTAAAAACTAAGTCATCAAGGATCTTTCTGTAATGTTTATTTGAAACAACGCAATACCAGAAGTGTATACTATGCTAAGGTCCTGGCAGCAGAAGGGTTTTTTTCTTTTTTAAAAATATTTTATTTATTATTATTATTTTGGTATTTTTGAGACAGGGTCTCCCTGTAGCCCCAGCTGTCCTGGAACTCACTACGTAGATCAGGCTGGCCTTGAACTCACAGAGATCCACCTGCCTCTGCCTCCTGAGTGCTGGGATTAAAGGTGTGTGACATCACGCCTGGCTATTATTTTTATGTGTATGCGTGTATTGCCTGCATGTAGGTAAGTGCACCATCACAGGGATAATAGTGCCTGGTTTGCTTTGTCAGAGGCAGAAAGACCTTTTGATAGCTTTCGTACTTTTAAATTTTTTATTTTTATTTTATGTGTATGAGTGTATTGCCTGCATGTATGTGAGTGCACCCATGTCATGCAATGCTGCGGAGATCAAGAGGGCTTCGGATTCCCCTGGAACTGGAGTTAAGGATGGTTCGTAGCCACCATGTGGGTGCTGAGAATCGAACCTGGGTTCTCTGCAAGAGCAGTCAGTGCTCTAAACTGCTGAACTATCTCTCCAGCCCTGAAAAACCAGTGTTCTTAACTGCTGAGCCATCTCTCCAGCCCAGCAGAAGGGTTTTTAAAGCCCCCTTTTTTTTTCTGTTATCAGAAATACTTTGAATCATCTTTTTCAAGTCCATAAACCAGTCCTGGCTAGTAAGAAGCTACTCTCTTCTCAAAGGAGTTTGCCATTTTTTTTTTTTTCTCTCTACAAAATAAGGATTTCTTGATCTGATCTTAGTTTATGTTTTGCATAAATAAGATTACAAAGCATTTTGAACTGTGAGGGGAAATGCATTATATTGGATTGTAGACACAAGGCTCAGTCAAGGTCAGTGTGAATGAGTGCCGGAATTGAGGCAAGAACTCCAGGTCTGATTCCAGCCAGACAGGGTAAGCATGCTTATTTCTTTTAGACCAGTGCCTTTTGCTATCAGGCTGGACCAAGTGCTGGGCACATTTGTACTGGGGTTGGAGAAATTGGATTTCAGTCTTACTATTACCAAATCATTCTTTCTTGGATATAAAGCTGTTTTTTTTGTTTTCAAACATATAACGTTTATATACAGGTACACTAGTATTAGTGCTATCAATGGCTAGAGCCATCAGAAAGGTCAAAAGTTAAAGGGCTTTGGAGAGTAGGGAGTCCTCTGAAGGTTAGTGGAGGCTTCTTAGGGATGGGTTTACGGGGTTTGTGTCTGGAAGGGGACAGAGATTCTGGCCTTCATTCTAATCTGGGCTGAGCTCTGCTCATAGTCAGGGAAGCCAAAGGTTGTACAGTCACCTCTTGCCCAAGTACTTTGAAGTGGGAACTGACACATGGCCATCAGTGTTTGTCTTTCCCTGGAGTCTGGTCACTGATAGTGGCTTTCTTCACCCCAAGACCCTGATGTCTCAACTCATAGAGGAGGAAATATTTCTTGTGTGTTGTAACTGTTCACCCAGTTCCTCTCAGCAGTCACAGTAGACATTGTGTTGTCATAGGACATCTGCGTCTCTGACATGGAATGACCTATCTGTTGTCCCTGTTCCCGAGAAGGACATAGAAGATTCCAAGCCTAGTGTTTCAGCAGGTGCTAAGAGATAGAACTCTAATGCTTTGTGCCCATGCCATAAAGCAGTTGTAAAAATAAATAACAGTGACTTTGCTTTGGAGTATGTTATACTAATTTCTGCAGAAGATCTAATAGAGATTATGCTAATGACCGCAACAAAAAGCCACTTTGCCTCAAAACCAGGTAAGACTCTGGCAGAAGTCAAGGCTGAGCATTTTATACCATTCATTCCAGTGAAGGAATATAAACCATAATTTCTAGCTTGAAAGAGTCAGGGTCAGCCAGGCATGGTGGCACACACCTTTAATCCCAGCACTTGGGAGGCAGAGGCTAGCAAATCTCTGTGGGATAGAGGCCAACCTGGTCTCAATAGCAAGTTCCAGTCCAGGTAGGGCTACAGGAAGAACCTGTCCCAAACGAACAAATGAACAAACGAATGAACGAACAAACAAACAAAAAAACACTGAGCAGCATGGAGCACCCTCCCACTCTGTAATTAGCTGCCTTTCTTGCACTTTCAAATGTGGTCACCAAGTTTGACTTGCAGTCCTTGACCCACTGACCACATACACTGCACTCAGTCTCAGTTTAGATCTGTGTCATGTTGGTGCCTGGACTGAGTCATTTCCTCCAGGACGCAACACAACATAGTTACAATCCCCCCACGTGTGTGTGTGTGTGCGTGTAGGAGGGGGGCTTGCTCAGCTCTGCCCCTCAGTTCTCAGTTTGGTCGCATGGTGCTACGTGGAAGCAGCCTGGCTCTGCATGCGATGGCTTGCAACCGCATCGCCTCCTACAACAGCGACTTGAGATTTCAATTTTTCTCTAGTCCTTTTTCAGATATCTATTGGCAGAAACAGAAAGGTTAAGATTTAAACCTCCAGAAAAATGTGGCCAAGTGGGAGCTTTCCCTTTCTTCCTTCTCCCCTCCTTCCACAAATACTCCTTAAAGTCTACCCGTGTCAGGCTCTGTTCAGAGAGCACTTATAAAGTAGATGAACTTGCTTTCTGGAATGGCCTGGGCTAGAAGGGAAGACAGATACATACATACATACATACATAATTTTGAGCAGAAATCAATGTACAGAGGCATTAAGGACACATGTTCTGGGAAGGATGACACGCCATCATGCTTGGTCCCCATAGTGGCTGTGTTTCTAATCTTTGGGTCACCTTCTGGCTTCAGAGGTTATAGGCCGAAAAGGGTCAGGGTACATTTAGGAGGGGCCAGTACCTGACAGAGATGGAGAAGTCTCCTGGGGAGCTCTGGCTGGCTCGGATGATGAAGAAGCCAACTTCCTTGCCCATAAGTAAGTTCTCTGCCTGGTGTCTCGAGAGGCCTTCATGGAACCACCTACCCATCAAGACAGGACAAGGGAGTTCAGTGGGACGCATGATAGGGATGAGGATGGAGAAGAGGTGACTCAGGGAGAAGGCTAGGGACCCTGACCAGCAGAGAGGGACCTACGGGAGTGTGTGGTGGGGTACATCCTGAAACAGCAGTACTAAGGAGGTGCTTTCAGGAAAAGCAATGAAGCCTTCCCCTGGACTCGCTTTCTTTGTTCCTTCCCTCCAGAAGTCTCTCTCCAGCTTGGGAAACTTGAATCATGGAAATATGCCACTGCGCCAAAATGGGGCAGTGTGGGAGTGACTCACTGTGGGAACAGCTGCCTGCTGCAGCTGTGTGGGGATGTCCGGGGAGGGAAAGGGCCACTGCAAGCACCAGGACCACCAGAGCAGGCTGGGAGACAAGGCCTGGCTACCTATTCCCTGGCTGGGCACTTTTCCCTGGGAGCATTCGGGACAGCTACAGCCTAGTGGTTTGAGCCTTGGGGGACTTTGGTTGAGGTGCCCCACAGAGGCTGCCAAGTACGCAGGGAATCTTACACACACTTAGAAATGAGGGGTCTCTAGCCAACCTCTTCAATTCTTTTGTAAGCAATTCCCTGCACTTTGTAATCCTCTCCTACAAAAATACAGATTGGAAACACATCTTTACTTCGGAAAAGGAAAAACAGAGGAGAAACCTCGTTTTCCAGAAGCATAGCCAGGGTGGCAGTGGCTGGACTGAGACAGCACAGCATAGCATGGCTTGTTTGAAAAAGTCAGAAACACAAGGGCAAGGCAAACAGTGGCTGCAGCTTCAGCAGGTGGCCAGAAACATCTTTCAGCTCTAAAAGGGCAAGGGAGGATCTGCACACTGCTTCAAGGTTGCCGCTCTGATCACTCCCATCAGAAGGCTAATTACTACATATGTCTCTTTAGGACAAATACATGGCAGGCCTCAGCTTTGAACTCCCTTGTGCTTTTGAGGATTTGTGATCATTGACTACAGACTGGAATGACAGAAGGGATGTACTTACTCCAGACCGAGGCCACAGTGGAAGGCTGGGGATATACATAGGGGCTGGAGACTGGGGTTTCTGGTGTGGCACACCACTGCAGGAGTGAACAAGTGACCACCACATCACTGAAACACAGTGACGGGGGCTGGAGAGATGACTCAGTGGTTAAAAGCACTGGCTGCTCTTCCAGAGGACCCAGGTTGGTTCCTAGCACCCACATGGTAGCTAACAATCATCCATAATTTCAGTTCCAGGGCATCCAAAGCCCCCTTCTGACCTCTGTAGGCATTGCCTGACATGGGTGCACTTATATACATGCAGGCAATATGCTCATACACATAAAATAAAAGTAATAAATAATATTTTAAATTAAAAAAAAGAAACACAGGAGGGACAGGACAGCATGCTCCACAGCAGTCATAGCTTAAAGGGAAAACTTTAGCTATGGACAACAGGCAGGCAGTGGTATTTAGAAAAGACATTTATGCTGGGCGTGGATGCAGAAGCAGGCAGATCTTTGTGAGATTAAGGCCAGTCTGGGATGGTCTACATAGTGAGTTTCAGGCCATCTGCAGCTACATAGTGAGACCTTGTTTCAAAAAGAAGGAGGAGGAGGAGGAGGAGGAGGA